CTTCCCCTGCCATGCCCACCAAGCCATGAGTACAGAACTGGTAGTAAAGATTGTTTGAACCCCACCACTGTTGTCAAGTACCCAAATGTAAATCACATGATGCTGCCATGGTCACAAGTGTGAAAAATGGTCACAAGCCACTGTTTTCAGTGCCGTTTTAACTTTGAACGGTCACTAAATGGACTGTTATAAGTCAAGGATTAAGTGTAATAGACTTTGTGTCAGTGATTGGATTGCATCAGCTAAAGAGTTGCATTTTTCCCTCGGTTTGTCTTCTGCTGAGGTCTACAATGACAGGAGTTTCCATAAGTGACTTATGATCAGTTGTCACACACTTAATGACCACCACTGCATCCCCCAGGTCACGTGATTAAAATTCAGGTGTCAACTCATAAAACATTTTGTATACATGTTTTATAGTTGCCAACAAAAAGAAGTGGGAGGGGGGAGTGTCAAAGAGCAGGCAGCAGTGTGGAATCGAAAGTACATTCCATTCATATTTTCTTCAAAGACTGATTAGATGACTGAAGCTTCTGCCATGAAAAAAATCTAATTGGAGAGCATGATTGATGACTCTGGGCTATGGACGTGTTTCGTTGGATGATACACCCAGAGGGTTGAGGGGAAAAGCAGGATCAAGGGTGACAGTGCATTACATATCTCAGAGTTGGCTACGCCCAGATTAGTGCCGGACATAGAATGTTAACTTCAAATAAATCCTCTTTAGTTTTGGGAGTGTGGCTTGAGGCTCATGATGTAACTGCCGGAATCCTGACATCAGGTTCTTGGCAAGTAACTCACATTTATGACGGTTGCCGTACTCCAGGATCATGTGATCTCAACTTTTGCAACCTTCTGACAAGAAAAGTCAATGGGGAAGCCAATATTCACTTAACGGCTGTGTTACTCACTTAACAACTGCAGTGGTTCAATTATCTACTGTGCCAAGAAAATGGGACAAAATTCACTTAGCGTAACTGTCTTGCTCAGCAACAGAAACCCTGGCGTCGATTGCAGTCATAAACCAAAGACCACCTGCAGTCTGAAATGTCTCCATCCACTTGTAGCACATTAGTGGAGGGGATTTTCCTTTAAAAAAAAAAAAAAAAAAGAATTTCCCCCATCGTTTTATTTATTGAATTGAAATTGGTGCTTTTTTTCAGATTCGGCAAAGGGTTTTTTTTTTAAAGCTTTTGTGGGAAATTCCATAAATGTGATTTGCCAATTTTCTTTTCTGCATTTATTGTTTGTTTGTTTTTTTCCTTCTAAAATGCTAACAGTTGGTCAAAGATGATTGATTTCCAGTGTTTGGAAACTAAAACTTCAAATTTCCTATCTCTGGACGAAGAAAAAGAAATGTTGTGATTGACACAGTATGAAGTAATTAAGAATGCAGGAAGCTGCCTGGGTTAGCAAAAGCGGTTGAAATAAATCGTTATATTTGAAATGTCTGCTGAGATCCTAACGATAAGGCTGGGAACCATCTGTTTCATAGAGGCAGGTAATGGGGCTTGAATTGTATCACTGTAGTAGCACAGAATATTACCATCTTGTAAGATACATATAGATCCAATGGATTAGCCAAGCAAGTGGAATTATATTTGTTTTGTTTTGAAAAGCACTTATATCCAGTTTCCTTATTTGAGCTTGTCCTTCCCGTGTGTATAGAAGTGAGGTCAAGCACTTCTTTCTTTCTGTTCTGGAGGTTGAAAATTTGTTGTAGTTATTATTAGGGTTCCTTGTCCAAGAGGCTTTGTCGACAAAGATTCATTTCTGATGGAGCTTGGAAGAGAAAAAGGAAGGCCTGCCGCTTCTGCTGCTTTCCTTGCATGAAGCTAAAAGTCTCTCTCTCTCTCTCTCTCTCTCCCCGCCCTTGAGAATGGAGCTGGAGATGGTATCCTGAGATCCCAAATAAAGAACGCTCGATTGATAGACAAACGGGGTGGGGAATTTTCCTGAAGACATTTTGGGGGATTTTCCCAGGGTCTCTGGTCCACAGGATTTAAAATTATGAGTTTGGTGGTTCTTGAGGTCCAAAAGGTTGGTGACCCCTGTTCTAGTCCAACATCCTGGTCAAGAAGAAGACCCTATCCAGTCTCTTCTTGAAAACCTCCACTGATGGAGCATTCACAACTTCTGAAGTCAAGCTGTTCCACTGATTAATTGTTCTTGCTGTTCGAAAGTTTCTCTCCTTGGTTAGTTTCCAACTATTGCTGCCTTTCTTGCTTTCTGGTGCTTTGGAGAACAGCTTGACTCCTCCTTCTTTGTGGCAGCCTCTCCAATATTGGAAGACTGCTATCATGTCTCTTCTAGTCCTTTTCTTCATTAAACTAGACATACCCAATTCTTGCAACCATTCGCTGCATGTTTTGACCTCTAATCACCTTTGTTGATTTTCTCTGCACACTTTCTAGAATCTCAACATCTTTTTTTACATTATGGCGACCAAAACTGGATGTGGTATTCCAAGTGTGGCCTTACCAGGTCCTTATTTAAATGACTGTGCATCAGGACTCCAAGATGCCTCTCACAATTACTACTATAGAGCGTGTAACTGCGAGAGAGATCTTGCAAAACAGGTTGTAAGAAATGAATCATTATCTTAAGAAGACTTCATTACAGTTTTGTATCAGAAACAAAGGAAACGAACTTTTATTTCGTCTGTGAATGTAGAGATAACTACACAGATTTTACAATAATTTCAATTATTCTTTTGTGTTCTGCTCAGAAGACAGAGTATATAGATAGTAGGAATAATTTCGTTTCTGAGTTTAGATTGCCATCATTGATTCAGCTGAAATTTCATAGATTGATGGTTCTTATTTCAGAATGGAGATACTGCTTTTTAAACTTAAAAATCCCACAAATGAAGGGTTTACTTCAGAATTTGATAGGAAATCAACTGGCCAGGATTATTGTTGCTGTATTCAGATTCAAAAGTTGTCAGAATCTGATATGAAGCCAAGAACAAGATGATAACATATATTTAATAAGGATCAGTAATTATGCTGTTGTTCAGGATAAACATGGTTTTATAGAAAGCAGGAAAAATGTTTGTAATAAATTGATTATTTTGAAATATCAGATTGGATAATTGCATAGAAAGAGAGCTTATAGTGGAGTTTCATGTTTTTAAGCAGGAAGGGTTTTTTGATCGAAAGGAATTTTTTTGTATTGCTCTATTGAATGTAAATACTTAGTTTAAGATTTGCTTATCATTAAGCTATAAAAGAAAATGTTTGTTTAATGGTACAGAAAAATGCATATCGAGATTATCTTTTTCTTCATAACTTTTCTCTATCTGGAACTTTTATCTATATTAGAAAATTATAAAAGCTGGATTTCAATTGAATTAAGACATATGCAGAAAATACAGTATTGCAAACTTGGCAGTGACTTATCTCAAAGCTATCTATAACTTATTAATATTTTACACCAATTTTGTTAATGCTCTGGGAAAACAATTACATTGCACAAATAAGAAGAATCAACTGAAACATTAATAAGAAAATTAAGGAAGAGCTGTCCTTAGTAAGGTTTAGTAGCATCAGATTATGACTGATTTTCCACTTGAAGAATCAAGTAAAACCTAACGCAGGTTCTAACAATATCAAAGAATATATTTAAAAACACCTGAAATTGTTGAACTTTACAAATGTAGAATACTAAAAATATAGCATTCATCTTAATGCTTTGGAGAAGGTGGTGGAAATTTTTAATATTTGTCTGTACATTATGTGTTTTGATTAGAACTTCTTAATATTAGGTAATTATGCATTAAAACATCTTCTCAAGGCAAAGATTCAAAACATTTTCTCGAGGATTTTCAATTTATCCCATATTATATTATAAATTACCTGACATCTGTGGAACCAACATCTGCAAAGATAATATAAAATAAGTTTAAAGAAGTTTATTTCTATCATACATTACATTCTAGTATTTTTGTGCTGTGCTGATGAAAGATATGGGACAGTATCAGGTGCAAAGTATCAGGACTATCCTTAACGTTACAGCAGGGGTGTCAAACTCGTGTCGTGACGGCAACGTCATGTGACGTATTGGGACTTTCCTCCCATTTGCTATACCAGATGGGGGCGGGGCCAGCACATGACGCATCTGTCCTGCAGATCACGAGCTTGACACCCCTGGGTTACAGCATAGAAGATATATTCTAACCTATACACAAGCATCTGGTCAACTAAAGTTCATCTCTAAATTGGCACCAGATAAGGCTCAACAGAATTTAGGAGAGGTTAGACTTGGAGTGTTTGTGGAAACACAACAATTCTAAACTGATGACCCACTTAACTCGGCCATCCAGCTCTGTTTCCATTTCTGCAACAAATACAAAAACTTGGATCTGGGTTTTATTTTCACTGTATTTTTCTTTCAATAGTCTTGCAGACAAAAACGAGAAAAACGCTATAGATAAATGGTGTCATGTTTCACCAAATACTGTATTAGATAGGAATAACCATAGCTCTTCTGGGGAAGAAGCAGTTGCTAACTGCAAGAGAAGGGAAAAAAATGTAAACGGTGAGAGATTTTTTTTTATTATTAAAATGATATTAAGAATCCATGTGATATGAATAAAGAATGGGAAACTGAATCCCTTAAAACTATTTCTCATTGAGTGCAGTGTGGCTTATGCCAAGCAAAGCAGAATTTCAACGGAAATATACCAATATATAGAAGAGAAATTGGCACATTCTCTGTTTTCCTTTCCTTGCAAAATGAAAACAAAGAATTGGGATGGTTCTTGTTCATTTTAGTTTGCTCTTGAACATTTTTTGTTTACTATTTTAAAACAACTTGTTTAGGATCAATGTATCAAATCATTGTATCAATTGCATCAAATCAATGTTTCAGATACTGTAGCAAATAAGAAAATAAAAGCAATGTTGACTAACCTTCAGGCGCTTGTAACAAAGTGGAAAACTGCTTCTTAGTTAATTTTTTTTCAATTAACTAGGGTTGTTTTTTTCTTATATTTTCAGATACGGGTTGAAACCAAATGACCAGATCTTGGCAGAGGAGAAACATAAAGAGCTGTAAGAAATTCAATGTTACTTCTTAAGTTTGATTTTCTATTAATTTAATAGAAAGTATTCTTTTTTTCACCATTTATTTATATCAGCTTTAATCTATTTTTCATTAAAAAAAAATAAAACAAATGTGTTTGTATTAAAAAAATAATACAAACTTTTTTCCCCTTCCTTCATCCTTTCATCCAAGGGTTGGAAGGTACATTGGGGAACTTCTAAAGATTTATTAAATGAATTTTGCCCTGTTTTATGACCTTTCTTGCCACAGTTGTTAAATGAATCATTGCAGTTGTTAAGTTTGTAACACGGTTGTTATGTGAATCTGGCTTCACCCATTGATTGACTTCGCTTGTGAGAAGGTCACCAAAGGGGGGGGGTCATATGACCGCGGGACACAGCAACCGTCATAAATAGGAGTCAGTTGCCAAGCGGTTGATTTGGATCATTTGATCCTGGGGGATGCTGCAATGGTTGTGTCATGCCCTTATTAGAGTCAGACTGAGGGAGGGGAGGAACAGCCAACAGGGAGTGGAGGTGTGGCTCCGGAGGTTGTGGAGGAGGCTGGGGAAGGGCAGAGTTTGGCTGAGCAGTCAGAGAAAGTCCCAGGCCCATCCCCCTCTGCATCCTAGGACATGCAAGGAGGAATGTAGAAGGAAACAACTTGGCTTACGAGAGAGGAAGCGGCCATGATCCCCCTCATTGGTTGCAGCTGGGGAGAATAGTATATAAGAGAGATGGTTAAAACACAGCATTGCTAGAAGCAAAGCGTGTGTTATTTTGGGCTGAAGTTATCTTGGTTGGCATCCTTCCAACAGACTGTGCCTTGCGATAAGTTTAATCTCCAACTGAGAATTTTTGAACAGTGGGGCCAAGTTGGAGGCATTAAAGGACATTTATTTATGTTTTGGATTTTGTTACGTCTGTGTTACGCTCTGGGTCATCGCAGGTTGTAAGTGTGAAAAATGGACACGTCACTTTTTTCAGTGTCGTCGTAATTTTGAACGGTCACTAGCAGTCACCGTTGTAAGTCAAAAACTACAAAAGTTCATTTAGTTTCATTCCTAAAGCTGACTCTCTGTAGTTTCAAAATCCAAAACTCTATTGTTGGCCGTAGTTGTATTTGGTCGAATACAGTTCTGACCAAGGCTTCCTGAGACAGTACCAATCACACGCTTAATCCCCAAAACCCTCTTTTTATTTCAACGGCTGTGAACTATATGCATTCACAGCCCATAATGAATCCCAAATAGTTTATGATGAATAGTCCAACAGAAGTTCTGCCACAGTCTTTTTAGGATAAGGCTGATAAGCACCCATCTTTATCTCCCTTGAAATGCTGCCAACGACTAAATTGCCAATTAGCTGGCCCAACGGAGCACAAAGTCAACACGGAGCTTCAGAGTTTAAACCAATCAGAACAAACAAAGTTGCTTCCTGCAAAGGTTCCTGTCCCTTTGCTCCTTTTTTATGTCTTATGGGAGGGCCAATCACCTCCAAGCCTTACCCCTGAGTCGCCCCTTTTGTCTTAACAGTTCTTGCCTTCTGGAAGCTCTGCGCAAGCGCGCACTGGGAACAGGCTCCCCCTGTTCCTCTGCCTCGCTGATATCAGATTCTGGAGGCTCCAGAGTCAGCACAGAACTCCCAGATGGTCCTGGCTCGATCTCTGTGTCGGACGCAGATCCCTCGTTTGAGCCCTCCCCAGACTCCAGGACTGGCCCATGTTCCTCCCCACTGTCTGTCTCTGCTGCCGGCTCCTCAGGCCGCCTCCAAAAACACTTCCAGAAGAAGCCCTGTGATGCAGTGACTTCAAGTTCTCAGCAGTTAAAATGTTTATATAAGTGGAATAATTGCTTTTTATCAGCTCCGAAATCTTGGTTTGGGTTACTGTGTTGTAGAAAGATTTGCTTGCTCCATGAATTATGCAGTGCCGTTTACTTTATGCAAGGGTATATTACCCACGGCAAATGAATGTAAGATTATTATCTCACGGTCAAAATGACATGTATAAATGGTAGAATCAAAGTGATTTCACAGTCAGCTTTTCTTTCAAACTTTTAGATGTTTCCTGTGTTTTGAATGACAGCTTTCTCATTTGAATTAAAGTATCTTCTAAGAACTTTTTCTTTCTTTTACTTCCTTGCCTAATCTGCAGAGCTGGGATCTCAGGGTGGTCTTCTGTCCCAGCATTAATTAGTCTCCGCCCTCTTCAGCTTTTTCAACAATCAATTTCTCCCTCATAGATACAAGCATCCCCGATATAATGCAAATGATGCGAAAGATCTCCAAACTGGGATTGGTCGCATTGCCCAGAAGGGGTTGAAAGTTGGTCAGCATATAAGTTTTAATAATAATAATGACATAACACATCATTCATTATCTCTCTCTCTATATATATAAAAGTGAAATATCACTCATGCATCATCAAATCTCCAGAACCGTAAAGCCTACAAATTTGAAATTTGGCACGTATGTTCCTCTTGGCTTCTAGGTGCTCACTAAGAAAGTATTTTTTGAAATGACCATCAGAGCATTAGTATTTAGTATATTATTAATAATATGCTCTGATGCTAAGGAGTTCTACTCTCCCTCCCCATCTGAAAATAAATCTAAATGCAAAACACAAGTAGAGAAGTTTCAGTTCCAGTTTTACTTTCACAGCGCCAAACCGCTTTAGTACAGAACAGTTGAGCTAAGCCACACCCAGTCTCTTTGCTGTCTCCTTCTTGTTCACACAGCAAATACTCTTTCAATTTCCAAATAGCCCTCAAAACTCTCACACATTGACAGGACTCTAGCCAGATGAATACCAATGGATGCTGGTAGGCACGGGCAGAAATTTTTTCTCCTTATTTTTCTCCCCCCAAACTAAGCCAGACCACATAGTTTCGTAGTGAAGCGGAGGTATCGAGCTAGTGTATTATAATCACATTGTCACCAAAACAATTTATCATATGCCAGTAATGAAAAATCGGTTGAAAATGTAGTTGACAATTAGCAGGTTAAAATACTGTGGGATTTCTGAATACAAACTGATAAAGCCTTGGCCCCATAACACACCAGATTTAACTGTGGTTGAAAAGAAGAAAGTATGGATGATTTATGGGTCAACACCAGGGAATAGCAAAATAGAATTGGAGACTTTCATAAAAGATCTGAACACTGAAGTTGAAAGATTATGGCATAAACTGGCCATGGTGGTCCCGGTGATTTTCTGGGTACCATACTCTGGGTAGCACACCAAAAGAGCTTGGATGCCAATGAGAAAATCTGGGCATTGACAAAATTCCCACCTGTCAATTACAAAAGGTCACACTGTTTGGATCCGCACGTAGAGCAAGCCAAAACATTGTGACCGCCTACCCTTTGGAGAAAAATTCACCGAGTATGAAGGCCAACACCAGCTAAATAACTGGGAGTAGGGATTTCACATTGTTGTGTATGTGATAATAGTAGTAGAACTTGATAGAATCTCCCATCAGAAGCTGTGCTGGCATCTTTAAAGTTCTGAAAACTTGTACAATTTGGAAAAAGACATTGAAAATAATACAGTCTTCTAGATAATATACATTAACTCTGTTGTATTTGGAATGAAATTAAAGGTGTCAGCCAAAGAATCATCCAGAAAATCCATCCTGTATGGTAGGGGTGGGCAAATATACCCCTTTTACGATCTGAGGACTTTAACTCCCAGAATTCCTGAGCCAACCATGCTGGCACAGGAATTCTGGGAGTTGAAGTCCACAGGTTGTAAAGGGCCCATAATTGCTCACCCCTGATCTAGATTTATCTCCGTTGCTCCCCGTTGTGGTTCAGACCAGGGGCCTGCATGGAATAGATAAATCATTATCATAATCACATGCTATTTTTGCATAGCTTCTGATGCATCGGAATTTCAAAATATTGATGAATCTGGATCTTGCTATCTTTCAGTGAGATGTATTTTATAATAATCAATACTCCCTGAAGATGTGTTTTCACTGAAGGTCAGCCAAGCTGACTGTGACTTCCTATTTAATAATGGTTCTGTAGAGTTGACAGGATGAAGGAGTGTTCCAGCTCTTAAGAGTTATCACCCTTATAAACATCTCAAATGGAATCTTGCTCCAGTACGATTTTCAAATCAACATAAACAAACGGGTCCCCCTCTTCTGAAATATTTGTTTTGAAAAACAAACTAACTCTCTTTGCTGCTTCATAATTTACATGAGGATATCAACACACTGCCTTTCTGCCATAAATGTCCAAAGATTTAAAGTGTTTGCATTTTTCTGCCACACATTGTTGGACAGTCCATTTCTTTTTTTAATTCTGCTGGGATTTTTTATTAAAAAAAATCAAATATAGGCTTTGTTTCAGCTTTAATTCATTATTGCTTTGTCTTTGTAATTTTGAACAAAATGTAGGTAATTTTGGCAATTTTAAGACTTATGGATTTCAACATGGCTGGCTGGTGAATTCTGGGAGTTTAAGTCCACAAATCTTAAAGCTGCCGTGTTTGGAGACCCCAGCCTTAAAACATTCTAAATGAGAATGATTATGCTTGGTCTCTTGATTATCTTGGGCCAGGGGTGGCATTGCTCACTCTTATCCTAGAAGAGAGATTGTCTTTTGTAGCTCCTACATTAGGGGACTCATCCGGGAGTCAGTCTTCTTCACTCTCCTTTTTAACATCTGTACGAAACCACTGGGTGAAGTCATCCAATAGTTTCAGGATGGTAGCCAAATGTTGATGATACACAACCTTACACTTTCACTTCAGATTGGGTTGGTTGGATTGTTGGGTCTGGGTCTGTCTTGTTGGGTTGCAGAACTGTCTGGTTTGGCTCTGCAACCCAACAAGACAGACACAGACTTCAGAGAGTAATTAGGACTGCAGAAAAAAAACTATGGACACCAAACTGCCTTCCATTGAGGACCTGTATGCTGCATGGAGTCAAAAAGAGGGCCGTGAAAATATCTACAGACCCCCTCACATCCCGGACATAAACTGTTTCAACTCCTTTCCT